AATGAATAATAAAATTAACATTAAACGTTAATAAGACGATAATTCTATTTTAGACATTCTTTAAATTATACGATTGCAGTTGTGTACAGTTTAAAAGTATTTATTTGATTTCAAAACGAATTTTTATTCTTATCAATTTCAAATATGGTTGTTTTATATTATTTTCAAAGTTTAATTGCTTGCTTACGTGATATATATTGAACATTTAACCATAAAAATTGCAATCACTAAATAAATAGAATATAATGAAGAGGCAGACGTATTTGGCTAAAACAACAACCTCAAAAATTTGCTAAAACGACAACTTATTATACTTGAAGTTTGAATATATCTTAAGTACGAAAGGTAATACACAACGAAAATATTAACCCTTTCGAAGGTCGTGGTAAGTATACTTACCACCACTTTTTTACCACTTTTAATTTAGGTTTCCATTTGTTTAATAACTTCAGCTTGCTTGAAATGCGTTTGAATAAAATTGGTAACCATTTGTTAGTTTTAAAAAAAACGTATAAAAGTTATGAAATACGTAATTCCTTTTGAAGTTTGTAGCATTTATAAAATTTATTTTATAAATAAAGAAAAAGTAAAAGTCAACAAGTTCTTAATAGGTCATGTTAAATATATTTACCACCAAAAAAATGGCATTTTTATAAACTAAATGAATTTTTTTACCTTATATCAATTACTGTTCTTAAAACAATTTCAATTCCAAAAATATTTTAATTTACCTTTACTAGAAATAAATGGCCCATTAAACGGTTAAAAAAGTATATTGAATGAAAATTCTTATTTAACCCTTTAATGGGCCCTTTATTTCTAGTAAAGGTAAATTAAAGTATTTTTGGAATTGAAATTGTTTTAAGAACAGTAATTGATATATAAAAAAAAACTCATTTAGTTTATAAAAATGACATTTTCTTGGTGGTAAATATATTTAACATGACCTATTAGGAACTTACTGACTTTTATTTTTCTTTATTTATAAAATAAATTACTTAAATGCTACAAACTTCAAGAGGAATTATGTATTTTATAACTTTTATACGTTTTTTAAAAGTGACAAATGGTTACCAATTTTATTCAAACTCACTTCAAGAAAGCTGAAGTTATTGAAAAATGAAAACCTAAATTGAAAGTGGTAAAACGTGGTGGTAAGTATACTTACCACGGCCTTCAAAAGGGTTAAAAAAGGAAATACTTTTCTAAATATTTTGATGGAAGCAATCAAATTTTTTACATGGAAAATCAAGCTGATAAAGTAGTATTATAAATTATTCAGTTTAATATTTTTTAACCCTATATCAGGGGTGGCGCACCTTTATACACCAACGTGCCATTTTCTCTAAAAAAATTGCTTAATGAGGTCATAGACGTGCCGTCAAATAATTTGGACTCCGTGATTATTGGGAAAATAGTAATACTAAATACTATCAACTCAAAACTCTTTATTTACTTTGAAAATAAATACATTGTGCCATGTCTCAGTTATACGCGTAAAGTAACATCAGTGTGACTTCTGCTTTTGCAGATTAGATGACAAATAACTTATATTAGATTATAAGATGTTAGTTTGAGCAGGACTGTAAATTTTTTTTTACTAGTTATTTATTGTTAGCTTGTTTTTTATGTTGTTATGTTGTTTTTATGTTTTATGCTTGTTTTAATAACATTTGTGTAATAACAATTCATAATGTAATTGCAATTGTGATCGGTGGCGTACCCAAAATATTGTGTCTCGTGCCATAAATGGCACGCGTGCCATTGGTTCGCCATCCCTGCCCTATACAGTTCATTGTAGATCATTTTCGTTGTTGACACGTAAAATAAATTTTTTAGGGAAAAAAAATTTAAAAATTCGAAAATGATTTTATGTTGTTAAAATTCTTCAATACCAACTGTTTAACAATTCAACAATAAAAACATTTTTTTAGCACTTTAAATATTAAAATAAAATCTTACGGAAAATCCGATAAGTATAATGCAGTATCCTTTTAGCTACTAATATGCATAACGCTACTCGTCTTCCAGAAAAAATTAACTTTAAATGGTAGAGATTTAAAGACTGAAGTTTTAACCCTTTGCTCTCGGAGTACTTTTAAAAGCTATTTGTTTTAATATGAGCACAATAGCATTTAAAATACACTATATACTATTGTTATACAATTTTAAAATTCTTAAAATAATGTGGTTATTAATTATAAAGGTATAAAATTTCTTAAATTTGAAGTGGTGAATGTTGATGGTGCCACCGTGGCAGAGTTGGCCAAAAATGTAATTGATTACATTTTTTGATTACAGTGATCAATTACTTGTAATCATGATTACAATTTTCAAAAATTTTGATTACAACTGTAATCATGATTACAATATTGATTACAGTAATCAATTACTTGAAATCATGATTCCAAGTAATTGCAATTACAAGTAATCACAACGAAAACGATTACGGATAATTATGATTACAAGTAATCAAAATATATTATTGCATGTAATCATGATTACATGTAATTTTATTACTTGTAATAACGATTACTTGTAATCGTGATTACAAGTAATTGATTACATAGCTGTAATTATCTGTAATCAATTACAGTTGTAATCGATTACTGTAATCGACCGCCAACTCTGCTCCGTGGGGACATCGGAGTGTAATTGTGGAAAATTTTGCCAAAATTTTAAATCCTGCAACGCGAAGCTATAGGAACAAAAAAATAGCATTTTTAATATTCGTTTGGATTATTTATAGGAAGTGATGGGAAAATAACAATAAATAAAATTTAATCAAGTAAGCATGATACATTAAAGTATAAACTCGGAATCATCCAAAAACTGCAACTACCGCTGATTCTCCGTAGTTTCTGAAAATATTTGTCTTAAGTAACATAGGTAATGTATTTTATATTTTTACAATTTAGAATTAAAAGAATTTTACCCCCCCCCCCCNCCCCCCATGGAAAAAAGTAATTTAAATTTTAAAAAATATATAAAGTTGTGTAGACGAATAATTTATTCAAGTTCAAATAATTTATTGAAAAAATTGTTTACTCAAAAAAAATTGTTTTAGGTAATTACCACTATAAAAAAACATAATGCTTCAAACTGAGTATCAAACGACAATTGGAGATAAAGAACTCTCTGTGTCTCAACACGAAAGGAGTTCAAATCATGGAATATGTTGTAAAAATAAAACATGGCGTGATTAGCAGGACTGGCAACTTACTACGCTTTTTGTAAAAAGTTATTCGTAGTAGCTATGATTAGGTTTAAATGTATTATTTTTAATTCATCTAAGCGTATTTAACTCACCACTACTAATAAATTATTTAAAAGTTCTTGTGCAACGCCACTGTGTTTCGGATATTTCGTGATGAGGCTTTTAGAATGTTGCCAACATTACCAAACTTTCTAAAAGCTTTGATTATTAAATGTGTACCACTATATAAAAGATTTCGCTAAAAGCGCAGTGGTTGGTAGGTCTGTTTTAGAACCAAATTTAAGTTTGGAAGTTATTATCGCAAGGTACTTACGAATTTCTTGATACCTCAAACAACATGTACATGACTTTTTAAAAAAAAAAAAAATAGTGCGTGGAGTCCCTCCGCGCGGAAGAAGTGAAACTTCGTAATGTGGAAATGAAAATAGGAAGGGGTAGAAATTGATTTTTAGTGAAATCATATTGTTTCTTTAAGACAAACTTTATTAACAATGCTTACAATTCACAATTGGTCGCATCTTTTAATTATCATTTTCGAGTGGTGAAATATCCAAATCTATAGCATTTACAATGGGATTATGATAACTAAAGTAAGATACGGAATGCTTGAGTTCTATTTTTTCAATATTTCTTGCAAAAACTGCATCAATGGTTGTTGGATCATTCCTACCATTTATCATTTCCAATCCAAATTTGTCTTCAAGGAAGGTTAATAATATTTCAGATTCAGGTAACGAGAAATTCACATTAAAATCTTCTGCAAGGATCACAGGCCACTCGTTGCCATGGTAGCGTTAAACGTTTAACGCAACCTTGTTGGAAGCAAGCAACCACTTCAAAATTTTTTTTAACTTTCCTGTTTGAAACCAATTTGGCACCTTAGTTTGAGTGGCAGATCATAATGCGGAAATATCCCCTTAAATATGACAGGATATAATTAGATTTCTGTATTGAGCCCACAAGTTGGCTTATGTTTGTTCAACAATAAATATAACTTTTGCAATGATTTTCCATTGGATGCTGGATATGTAGGGTACCTCGGTATTTGGCGCGTTGCGCCAGTTTTACTGTCTTGTTCTATGCTCAAAAGTCATGAAGGAATAAGCTTATACTGGTACAAAATTAAGGGGGGAGATCCCCAGGGTCAATAGTATGTAAGAGTTAAAAAACAGTGGTACTATCATTTGTAATATTTTGATATGATACAATCTGACATGAGGAATGTGGTTACTGAGCTATATTTAATGTTGTAGTCTATTGAGCTGATGTCTAGCAAATGATTTTCCATTAAACGTTACGCGGGAGTTATAGATTTTAAGTTTTAAGAAAAAGTGTCAGAGAAGATTTTATAAAATCTATAACAAACTTTCAGTTAATAATGAAAAATAAAGAAAAATTGTCGAATAAACTGCAGTACAGAACATATATCTTTTGAATAATTTACGTTTGGGGAAATAATAGTAAATTCTTAAAAAAAAAGCTGATGAAAAAAACCAAATAGTGTTACTGAGAGATTGTCCATATACATTTTACTCTTTAAAATCATATTATGTGGCTAAATGCGTTAAATCAGGGGTCTGTCCAGACATTTTGTGAAAGGTCCGTTTTTCATGAAATTATGAAAAAATTACTCACATTCTTTCAACCAGGGTCCGCTTTTATGAATTNCTAATCCCTTCACAGGAGTTACATGAATAATTACTAGTGATGCACTTCAGACTCCAGAGAATTTTAGCATCGAGCACATTCCTTTTGACCAGATAAGAAGACAATGTAACCTCGGCCACTAAAGTTTCTGTTTCACACGGGGCACACAATGTTGAAGGAGTATTTACACCAGATGAATTAGATGTTGATGTCTTTGGAAAAAGAGAACTCAGGGTGTGACATTAAGTCACAGCCTAATTTCTAAATATCCTGTTTTGTTAATCAAAATACTTATTTTTTCGGCTTAATTTATAATTTTATGATACAATTTTTATTGTCTTCATCTTTTTCTTCTCGCCCCTTAACGCGTTAGCGCAATGAGGACATTTTCCCCAGGAAGTTCCTTGCACATTCCTCAGACACTCCTTTTCTTGGAAAAAAGCTGTCGGCGACCTTTGATGTCAACACATGTTTTTAGTTACTGTACGGTCGCCGTTAGTATTTAATTATGCTTAAATTTAAGGGGTTAGTTAACTCACTTCAGTTCACTCCTTAAGCTAGATTCTTTTGCTTTTTAGGAAGTTTAACTTCCACTTCTAGCTATTTCTTTAAATACCGCCCATTTCTGGGAGCGGGGAGCAAATTCGATATTTGTTCCTTTAAAACTACGATCCCTCAACAGGGGTTTTTCATTTTCACCCCCTCCTCTCTTTGGAGAGACGGAGTTTTTTTTATTTTTGTTTAAATACATGGCGGTCATATTTCTCCGACCCACCTGCGGATGCCTTTTGCGGGCTGTGATTGTTTGTTTTTCCCTCGCCATGAACATTTAAGTGATTGTTCGATACTCTGATTTTTCTCAGTCACCTCGCTCGCGTACTGAGCGTTTATTTTGCTTCGTTTTTCTCTCTGTTTGAGGGAACGAACTTCACTCCTTTCTTAATGGCGTAATACCTGCCCGCCGACTCCTCAAGGATGCAGTTTTTCGACAATAACGAAAATCAATCACCATCTTAAATTTTTTTTGGCTCGCCTTTCCAGAAGCGACATGTTTATGTATCGACTGCGACTACTGCCAGCCGCCACTGATGCTACTACTAAGAGATGGAAAAGATGATCATTGTTGTGACCCCTAACTGGACATGCTTGTGATTCTGCTGCCCCAACGATTTTATTGATAAGAAGTGATCCACATTAATAAACTACAACAAAAATCTGAACTCTGGACTTTTCCTTGTGTCTTTTTAAAATTATTGCAGCTAAGCCAAATTGTTTGATGTCTCCTTTTCTCCAGTGGATTGAGATGAAGGTATGATTATTTTATGTTTTTTTGTTGGGATATTGCGGCGCCTCTCCTCGATGTACTTCCACTTTAATATTACATGTGCCTTCTTCTGTTTAGTGTAAATTGCTCTAACTAATTAACCTTCCTAAATTTTTTGATACACAGCAGACAACTAAATAACACAGGGCATGAGACTGCTTTTTTGTTTTACCTTTCTTTCATGTGTGATTTCTGAGCAGATTCTTCCATTTTCGCGATATCGATCTCCTTCATGTATAATCGGCACTTGGCTCTGAACTTCTTTTCGGGCATCGATAAAATCCATTCTTTATAAGCTTGATTATCCATCCATTGGGGATTAAAATAGCACTTCCCAGGCATAACTAGTCTAAACTACATAACACAAATACGAAGCCGTGCCTTTGCGAATACGCTTTACAATAAAGTTTTGAAATGACGCAAACGTAAGGACAAGTGCGGATGGTAAAACGGCAAATTTATTGAAAACTACAAGGTACATATTGTTACGAAATTTGAGAGTATTCCAGTTTNGTGACATTAAGTCACAGCCTAATTTCTAAATATCCCGTTTTATTAATCAAAATACTAATTTTTCGGCTTAATTTATATTTTTAGATACAGTTTTTATTGTCTTCATCTTTTTCTTCTCGCCCCTTAACGCGTTAGCGCAATGAGGACATTTTCCCCAGGAAGTTCCTTGCACATTCCTCAGACACTCCTTTTCTTGGAAAAAAGCTGTCGGCGACCTTTGATGTCAACACATGTTTTTAGTTACTGTACGGTCGCCGTTAGTATTTAATTATGCTTAAATTTAAGGGGTTAGTTAACTCACTTCAGTTCGCTCCTTAAGCTAGATTCTTTTGGCTTTTTAGGAAGTTTAACTTCCACTTCTAGCTATTTCTTTAAATACCGCCCATTTCTGGGAGCGAGCAAGCATTCGAAATTTTTGTCAACACAAACTTACGATCCCTTAACAGGGATTTTTAATTTTCACCCCCTCCTCCCTTTGGAGAGACGGAGTTTATTTTTGTTTAAATACATGGCGGTCATATTTCTCCGACCCACCTGTGGATGCCTTTTGCGGGCTGTGATTGTTTGTTTTTCCCTCGCCATGAACATTTAAGTGATTATTCGATACTTTGATTTTTCTCAGTCACCTCGCTCGCGTACTGAGCGTTTATTTTGCTTCGTTTTTCTCTCTGTTTGAGGGAAGGAATTTCACTCCTTTCTTAATGGCGTAATACCTGCCCGCCGACTCCTCAAGGATGCAGTTTTTCGACAAGAACGAAAATCAATCACCATCTTAAATTTTTTTTTGATCGCCTTTCCAGAAGCGACATGTTTATGTATCGACTGCGACTACTGCCAGCCGCCACTGATGCTACTACTAAGAGATGAAAAGATGATCATTGTTGTGACCCCTAACTGGACATGCTTGTGATTCTGCTGCCCCAACGATTTTATTGATAAGAAGTGATCCACATTAATAAACTACAACAAAAATCTGAACTCTGGACTTTTCCTTGTGTCTTTTTAAAATTATTGCAGCTAAGCCAAATTGTTTGATGTCTCCTTTTCTCCAGTGGATTGAGATGAAGGTATGATTATTTTATGTTTTTATCTCTAAGGGTTATTGCTCACATCGCATAAATTTAATTGTATTTTTAGTTTCGGCCAATCTTTTTTTAAATTTTAACAACACCATATTCTATAACACGGGGAGTTTTCGGCTGGAGGGGATCGAACCCACGGCCTCTTGGACATGGACCCAGTACCCTACCAACCAGGCTATCCCGGCGTCTAACTCGGTTTTAATTTTTCTTCTTCTAAAGACAGGTATTTTTGCAATTCGTTTATTGAGGTAGTAAAATACAGTACATTAGTAGGGATGCCAACTGCTCCGCTTTCTTCAAAAGTTTTAACAAATGTGTAACTAATTAAATAGTTAATCTTGTAGAATAATGATAAATGCGCCTACTTTTTAAGGAGCGAGAATAATGTCATCATCATCAATATTTATCTGGGCGCCTGGTGCCGTTAGCGGCCTTTTGCGAGAATAATGTAACAAAGTTGCATTTCATTTGATGCATTGAAGTTTTGATATGAAGTGGTGGAAAAATTATTTAAAATGAAAAATATTAAACTAAAAATAACTTAAATTTCGATACCACTAGAAAATACTTTTTTATTAAGAGCAGGAAGTTGACATCTCTGGATTTGATGTATGCTGGAAAAATTTCAGACCACTTAATATACGATTTAAATTTAACCATTTCGCGCCGACTGTCACAAATACGTGCCAGCATTAAAAAATATCAATCAGGGTGAAAAGATAAAACTAGTAATCAAAGTAATTCTTTAACGGTTTATTTGTGGGCGGAGTTATAATTGCTTGATTTATTTAATTCACCATTCCTTTGTTCAAAATAAAACTATTTAGTTATACTTTGAATTAGCATTGATTATATATATGATTAAACTAACAATAATTAAAGTAAAAGCAAAGTAAGTCTGTCAAATTAGCAACGACTACATTTAAGTTATCGTTTTCTATTTAATTACAACTTGATTCTGATTGTGCACGAATGCTTTTCTGAATCACCCGTCCCCAAGGGGTTAATAAATGGCCACACAATAACGTGTCACAATCATAACATTCTTTACGAGCATATTTATTTGAAATGGTTATGTTTATTTTTTTTGAAATATCTAAATCAGAAATCTTGTACACCTTAAATACTATTTATAACTAAACAACAGTGTTTAATTTAAAAATTTATAACCGGCGTGAAACGGCTGACCCAATTCTGAGATAACAACTATCACAGAAATGACAACTGGCTCAGCTCCGTAAAATAATATTTTCTTGTGGTTTCACAATTTAAGTCACTTTTAGTTTTAACATTTTTCATTTTAAATAATATTTCCATCACTACATATCGAAAATTCAAAGATGATATGAAACTAAACTTTATTGCATTTATCTCGCGTTGACACTTTTAAAGAGTAGAAGTAATTATCCTTACTCTGACAAGTTTTAATATTTAATTATTAAAGAAAATCGAATTTTAAATATCTGACTTTGAAAATTAATTTCTTTATAATCTTTAATTTCTTTTCAACCGATTTTTCTCAAATTTTGTATTCTGCTGTACAAAATTATACTCATTAAAATGATGCAAAAAATTATATACCTTAAAATTCAAATTTTTTTTCGACCATCATTTAATAAAATTAAAAAAAATAATAAAAGTTATTTTATGTATGGAATTATCTTTGGATAAACAAATTTTAAAATTATGTGCAAAGATTTTTCAATTCGGTTAAAAGGTTTTTAAGATATAACGAATATACGCAAAGAGTAAAATTAACATTAAGGGGTCCAAAGTTTGGAGCTCCTTCCTGATCAAACTATTGGGACCATATATTCCAGACTGCGGCTACTCCCTATATTTTGGGGGTTATAAATTCGAATCCTTAGGGGGGGAAAGGTAAGTTTATTTAGAAGAAAAAGTAAGTTTTTGCGTCTGATTTCGCAACTTGATAGTATTTACTTGATATTTTTTCAAAATTTTATTTTTTTTAAATTTTTTTTTTAAATGTTACTGTTATACGTTAAAATTAAATGAAGCTATAGGTAAGAATTAATAATGGTACAATCTATATGTACAACTCCCATAGCAACAATTTCACTATAACTACAACTTTAGTTAAAGAAAAAAATAAAAATAAAAATAATATTTTTAAAAACCACGTTTTTGTAGTGGAGAATAATAATTAAAAAAAAATTGAAAAACGAAAAACGTGGGGCGCATGAAATACATAACAGTAATGTTATATTAGTGTGTGTATGTGTGCTCTTGAGAATATGTGTATGTATATCTGTAATTGTAATTGTATCTGAATGTGGATGTGGAATATGTTTGTGTATATGCATATGTATGTGGATGTATATGTGGCTGTGCATGTGTATGAGTAAGAAAATGTGTATATGTATGTGTATATGTACTGTTATGTATTTCATGCGCCCCACGTTTTTCGTTTTTCAATTTTTTTTTAATTATTATTCTCCACTACAAAAACGTGGTTTTTAAAAATATTATTTTTTATTTTGAATTTTTTTATTTTAAATTATAATTTTTTTAATTTTTATTTTATATTTTTTAAAAATTATTACTTTTCAATTATTATTCTTCACTACAAAAAACGTGGTTTTTAAAAATATATATTTTTATTTAGATTATTTTTCTTAGTCAAGAGTAGTCAAGACTACTACAAGACCACTACTAAAATAATAGAACTTTCATTTTAAATTAGGGATACAAAAATCTTTATAGAAAAACAATACCTTTACGACTTTCATTAGTTTTATGCTGATGACAACCAAAACAATCTGGAAATGAATGAGGAAAAACTGGATCCTACCACGTGATTTTTCAGCCAATAAAAATACTCCGACAATAAAAATCTTTTCACCTGACATGTAATACTAATTTGAAATAATGGAATCGACAACAAAAGACAATCTCGAAAATAATTTTTTTTTTAAATTTTAATTTTATTTTACTTTGTATGTCTTTTTTCTCTTCATTTTCATGCATTGTCATCCAATTCTGAACTATGTGCCAAATTTGAAGTCTGTAGCTAGTCGGGAAGTTAGTTTAAAATCGTTTACAAAATTCCGCCCGGACAGACATACACGAAGGCAAGTTGATATAAACGTGGTAAAATATATTACGCCACGCAAATAACACTGAATGCATATATGTTACTGTGAATGACCGAAATTGGTGGTTCTTGACTTCCACCGGTGAATGTTGACATTCACCAAGTCGCTTTGGTGAATGTCCGAAATATATACTAGGTCTAGTTAAGTGCCACTGCCCGGTATACATTTGCCCGGTATATCCTACACTGATGTTTTTTTAAGGTTCAGTTCTACTGCTCGGCATAGATTTGCCCGGTATGCCCTCTATCAATCTTTTTTTAAGGTCAAGTGCCATTGCCCAGTATGCATTTAACCGATATACCGAACACTGATGTCTAAATATCGAATCAGATATTAAAATATCGAATATATATAATAATGTCAAAAAATAAATTAATATCAAATCGGATTTAACAAATGTTTCGGACATTCACCAAAGCGACTATGTGATTGTTGACATTCATCGGTGAAAGTTTACATTCTCTTGATATGTGTCATTCACGGTAACATATTTACTGAACATATTTTTAACATATTTACATATTTTTGTAACATTTAGTAACATATTTTTATTTGTGTTAAGAAAAATTGAGTTTCTTTGAAAAACTGAGACAAAACAATATAGTTTTGCTACCATATTTTAAATTTATATATTATCGAGCGAATATCAAAAACGCATTTCTACGTGATTTGTATGCAATTTGTGACATATAAACCTACTTTAACAAAATTAAAATCACATTTTAACGACACCTAAAAATATAAAATGATTAGTTATTTTCTCATATTTATCTTAAAACAACTGAAGTTTGCATT